ACACAGCACAGTGGAGTCGGGGAGAGGAGGACATCAGCTCCCAGAAGGCAGGTGGACGGGAGGGGGCCCAGAGGGCCATGCCAAGACCAACCAAACCCAGGAGGTTGTGTGCAGGGGAGGAGCAGGAAGAGGAGACAGCAGCTGCCACTTCAACCCTCCTCTAGCGCTAAGGAGTGAACCACCAATAAAATCCCATCACCGCTCAAGGCTCATTTGATTTCTTCACTCCTGTGTCTGGCACCTTCCAGAATGTTGCCACCAGAAAGCCGACGGGCTCTCGCGGCTGATCAGCCCCCGGGCTGTGTGCATGTGCGCACACCAGGCGGCCCTGGGAGAGGCACCCGGGCCAGGGCCTTGGGAAAACACACGCTGGAACTGAAAATCCCTTCGCACCACACTGAGGAGGGACCAATTAAAGGGCTCAGTCGCTGTTTACATTCCCTTTTCTGCCTACTTATTAGGCACTGCATTTCCCCAAATCAAAAATCTCACCTCCTGGGTTCCAAAATAAAACATATTTATGGTCCATAATTAGGCTTTAATGAAGATCTCCTCTGGGTACGTGAGACAACACACATTTCCAGCCACTCAGATAGATTCAGCCTGTTATTTGTGACTGTACAGAAAGTGGCCTATTACACTAGGCAACACCAGCACTGGTAATGTGCTGTAATTCTTCCCACCAACTAAAGGAAGCAATAAGATGGTTTTAAAAGGCATCTTTTGGACAGAATCTTGGCACCTCCTAGGCACCGGGCATCTGAGTCAAGGTAGAAAGGGCGAGGGGTCAAGGTTCAGGAATTGTATTGTTTGGTTTCTCATTCTTTTCAACTTTGTCTACCAAGAACTTTATTAGGGCCCAGCCAGTGTGGCTCATGTGACCCATGAACCAGGAGGTCACAGACCGATTCCGGTCAAGGGCACATGCCCGGGTTGCAGGCTCGATCCCCAGGAGGGGGCGTGCAGGAGGCAGCGGATCAGTAATTTCTCTCTCATCATTGATGTTTCTATCCTCCTCCCCTTCCTCTCTCTGAAATCAATAAAAACATATTTTTTAAAAGTGTTTTTAAAAAGAACTGTACTATGGCAAGTGATGTGAGGCACTGAGCAATTTTTAGGTGCAATGGGTCTGACTCCCAGTCATCAGGAACTTGTATAAATAGGAGATTCCTACCTTTGTTTCCTTTCCTGGTCCAATGAAGAACTATTCAGTCAACAACTACATTGTCAAGAGAACTGAGGCCAGACACCTTTATCTCAACTGCTGCTGGGTTTCTTTGCTACTGGAGGCCTCACCTTGCTCAGATCCCAACACAAAGTATGGGTTTTACATTGTCCAAAGCAAACCACCTTCTTCCTAGTGTTCACTGACCAACTTCAGGAGGTCGAGTTGCCTGGTGACGGAGCTCCTGAACCCAATCCCCTCCCTTCTCTGTAAGGCCAAGGGCCTACCACCTGCAGAGGGAGTTGTATTTTATCTTCCTGTGTAAATGTTACTTGGTCTTCCTCAGGTGAACATGTGTATCGTGCCACATTGAGCAACATCCCCAGAAAGGCCCCAGAGGGCTGACATTTGGTTCACTTTGGGGAGTAGGTGGGGTGATAAGAACTGGAGTCCAGGTACATAAAAACCTATGCAATCTGGGTCACCTCATTTACGACTGCAGTTGCATCCGGAGAAGGAATATTTCACAAGAGTTTGCTTTCCATAGAACCTAAACGGCTCCACAGGGAAGAAGTCAGCAGTGCAGCCAAATTAGATTATAATCTTTAAGGTCATGACCAAAATGTCTTCCTCATCTTTGTGAACCCTCAAATTATTGCATAGCAAAGACACACAGGTATTTGTTGAACAAATTATAATAATAAAAAAAAAAAGAGTTGCTATTTGCCTTTTGGATTTTGTAAAAGGATTGAGGGAGAGTCAGGAATGAAGGTTACTGAATAAGTTATTCTCAGCCTATGGAGCCTGCATGACAATAAGTTTCTGGTCCAATTCAGTTCTCTCCTGGGAGTGACTTCAGATTTCCAATTATTATCACTATTTATAGAAGCAGCAGCAGCTACCATTTTTAGGAGCTCATATGCACCAGACACCGAGTTGGACCATTTACATACATTATTGCTAACTCAACAAGATAGGCATATTCCCATTATACAGCTGCAGATACTGAGGCTGAAATCACGGACCTCAGGCAGGATCCTGCCTGAACTACCCGTGGTGATTTCTTCGCTGCCAGACCTGGTAAAACAGTCTCTGGACGTTCAGCTTTATTACTTTAGGTTGCTGAAAACTTGATTAGAGGAGACGTGGTAATGGAAATCATTTAAAAGAACGGAGGCTTTGAAGAAGGCCCTTTTTTTGAATAAGAAAATAAAATGACCTATTACCTTAAGCCATCTGGGGTGTTTTGCACAAGGAAAAAAAAAAAAAAGGTTCTACTTTTGGAAATCACCATAGTTTCAGCTGGATGCATCTTCTGCAGCCATACAAATCATACCAGGCGAGTTTTATTTGTCCTGCAAGGTGGAAGGTTGGGTGGCAACACACCAGCCGGCTAAAGACAGGGGCTCCGTCCTTGATGACCTTACAGTCCAGCTGGAAGGAGAAGGCACACGCATCAGGCAATTTTAGAATATTTATATGCTCGGGGCCATAGAAGCCTGTAAGTTCTCGGCAAAGCAGAGTCTGAGCAGACTCGGTGGACGTAAAATTGGAAACAGACCTTGAAGGACCAGTGCTGGCTGGCAGGCCCTCTGAGAGGGAGGATCATTCCCTCTGAGAGTGTGAGGGGATGTGGATGGGGCGGGGCGGAGGAGTGCGGGAGGGGGGGGGATTGGGGGGGGGGGCGAGGCTGGGGAATTGCGATGTACTGCTGCCTGGGCTGAGAAGGAAATCTGAATATTCTGCTGGGATTCCTGCTGGAAATCAAAGTAGATGCTTGTGCCCAGGACCTTTGGGCCATGTCCCAGATACGCACTGGAGTTGGCCTGAGCCACAAGCCTGCCCCTTCCCTGGTCCTCTCTCTGTTTCTTCTTCAATAAATAAGAATCCCACTGCTTCCTCGAACCCTGTCCATCCGTGAGAGGTAGGAGCAGTTGTTGACTTCTGAGAGCTGGGGAGAGAGGCACCCTCGAAGAGAAGCCTCCGGACTGGAGGAAAGCAACTCGAGGTGCAGAGAAAGTGCCTCCCCCATTTTCTGTGCTGGGTCCCTTCCTGGAAAGCCCTTGATCCCTCTCTGTCACCCTCCTCCTCTCACTCTCCTCTTGGTCAGTGACATTGTGTCGGGTCACCACTCTCTACCCTCCAAAGAATATATTCTCATTTTCTGGAGAATTCTCTCCTTTCTGGTCATGCCCTCGGCCTCTCTGAGCTCCGCCAACTTGCTCTAAGCTTCCCTCTGCTAGTAGCTTCCCTGTGGAACATAGTCCTCTCTGTGTTGGGGCGCAGAACCCACTGCCTTCCCCTCCTGGGGCCCGTCAGGAGGAGTAGGTAGTCTCCAACCATTGTGTTAAACTAGGCTTCGTGGGCTGCCAAGGAGAACTTCATTCCTTTCCCGACTCTGAATGAAAAGTATTCACGCAACCACAACTTACACTGGAACATAAATCCAGTTGTCCTCACGTGCCAAAAAAAGGCTGCTCTCTCGCACACGCTGGGGGACCCTTCCCAGCTTCACCCCTGTTGCCTACTGGCTACGGCTATTTATGAAATTTCTGAACTGTCCAAAAGGGGATGAGCCAGGAAAATTCTCTTGGAAGGAAATAGTCCAGATACTCACGATTTTAACTACTTGTGAACTCAAGAACTTGTAGATATGCATGGAAAATACCGAGACTCCCAAACTCACATGCACTAATGCTTAATAGTGATGAAGAAGGAACATGAGATTATTTATACCAATTAGCAACCTAGTTCAAGATGTGAATTTAAAAATGTATATTTGTGCCCAGTTGGCGTGGCTCAGCCGTTGAGTGTTGACCTATGAACCAGGAGGTCACAGTTCAATTCCTGGTCAGGGCACATGCCTCGGTTGCGAGCTCGATCTCCAGTGTGGGACATGCAGGAGGCAGCCAATCAATGATTCTCATCATTGATGTTTCTAGTTCTTGCTCCCTCTCCCTTTCTCTCTAAAATCAATAAAATAAATGTGTATATTTTTAAGTATATTCATTGGGCAATTCAGTCCATGTAAATACTCCAGCTATTGTCTTCCTGTGAGTGTATCATCCCAGCACAGTGGTGGGGACCACAAAGGCAAGAAAAAGGGTATATGGTCCCCAGATGCTCGGGGTCCTTCTGGAAGGCCAGGTTAGCTGCCAATAAACAATCTGGGGGTATGGACATGCAGGTACCAAAAGGCTGGGATTCAGACTTGGATGGCACAGAAGGAGCAGGGCCTTGCTTTGTCCCGACTGTGCAAGGCTCTTGACGGTGTTAGCAACAGGCCCATCCCAACATCACTGAACTGGAAGCTAGAAACTTCTTAGCAAAAGAAAAGACATTGCAGGTGTCACCGGTACACACTCATGGTGAAAACAGCCAGCGAAGTAGGTATTATTATTTCCATGGAACAGGTGGGGAAACTAGGGCTTTGAGAAGTGATTGGCCCAAGCCCATGTGGCTACAAGCCTGTGTGACCAGGCTTCTCCTCTGATCTCCTGGCTCCGTTTTCTTAACTGCCTTCCCTATTGCAGGACCTGTGAGCATTCTTTCTTTTCTTCATGAGGATTTTTTTTCGCTTTCATTTTTAGACAGAGTGGAAGGAAGGAGGAGAGACAGTGAGAGACAACATCGATTGGTTGCCTCCCACACGGGGATTGAGCCTGCCACCGAGGTACATGCCCTTGATCGGAATGGAACCCGAGACCCTTCGGTCCGCGGGCCAATGCTCTATCCAGGGAGCCAAACCAGCTAGGGCCCTATGAGCATTCTTTATACAGAACATATTTTCCTGTAAAATATTCATTATGGAAAATTCATTTGCACCTTTCAGCAGCCCCGCCACCACAGATTTTATCACGGAAGAGGAGGCCAAACCTGGGGAGAATGACGGTCAGCCCAGACATGTATAGCCCAAGAGGGGCTGGCGACAGAAGCAGACAGAAATCACAGCTGCCAGGGAAGGCGCCGGCTCTCTGGGGAGCAGGTAAGGACCCGTGGCTCACGCGTCTTCGTCTTCAGAGAGAAGTGACTTGTACTGTTATCTGATGAATTCTGTCGGGTTTTTAGACATTTGTACTTTTATGTAAAGGAGAGTTACCTTACAATGAAACGCAAGGTTTTAAAAACAAACCATTGACCCTAGTTGCCTTCTCCAAGGGAGGTTGGTGGGGGAAAGCAGGGCGGGGGAGTTTATTATTTTTCTCTGTCATCCCTCCATAAGCGTGACTGTGCATGTTTTGAGTGGATGCCCACATTAGGCTTCCAGAGAGGGCATTTGAGTTGTTGGGTATTGGGTTCAGGGTAGAGACAAGGCAGGAGGGTGGAGGAATGTCTCACTTGCCCTCAGTTCCCCCCCGCCCCTAGGAGTGTCTGTGGGTGGCAGACTGCTCAGCCTCCCACAGAGATCTTTTCCCCTCTGAACCAAGGTGTCAAGATCTTACTGTACGAAATAACATCAAAATGAATGTATGCTTCATTTCAAAATGCTGGCTTGGTAGACACCACCTCTTTCAGTCCTGCCTGCGCGTTCGTGCTAAGGCCCAAGCCATGCTGCTCTGCTAACCACGTTACCCTCTCTGGTGGTGGCAGAAGGACAGGACCTGAGGACTCAAGGAAAGCCCCACCTGACAGCCAGCCCTGCCGTGGCCCTGCGCTTCCCCGTGGGGAAACCACTGGGCATCTCACTTCCTCAACACCCACTGAATACTGTGGCCTTTATTTTAAAATATGACACAGACTGTGGAAGACATGTGTAAATATAGAACATGATAGTGTTTGGACGGCCTGAGATTAGAGCATATGCGAGCCGGTAGCAACCAGACACCCACAGGACCCAGGGAACTGATGCTCTGGCAGGGCAGAGCGCACTACTAATGCCAGCACTTCCTCCTCTTGGAGGTGGAGACCTAGATGGTCAGTCACTCTGGGCTACTGTTTCCTTTAAAATAAGGATAATGAAATCTATCCCATTATATTGCTATAACTCAGGAAAGCATGTACTGACCAGCACGTGACTATAGTGGGCAGTGAACTATCATTGGTTTCTCTCTAGCCACCTCCCCAATAGCCCTTGATGAACTCCCGAATATTATTTAAAAAGTGAAGCTCCCCATGCGTGAAACATTCCTAGACCCATGAGGTTCATACAATCCTCCACCTGCACCCAAAAGACAACTTCCATTATCCTGAGAGATTCATTGAGAATTTGTCCCAATTTTGTCTTATACCCAGGGCTCCTTATCTTCCCCCAATTATTTCCTCAGTAATCTCTCTTTAGTTCTTTTTTCCATATTCTAAAGTGAGTTGCATAAATTGGAGTAGGAGCCAGATGTTTGAATTGTATCTGAGAGGTAGTATGTAGAAAGCTCTTACACGGAGCTCCAGTGGCGCAATCGGTTAGCGCGCGGTACTTATACAGAAAGCTCTTACAAATCAATAAAATACACACACACACACACACACACACACACACCAAGAATATGAATACCTAATAGAAAAACGGTGGAGAGGCATGGCAGATAATTTCACAGAAGAAATAAGGAGGAGAACCAAGATGGCGGCATAGGTTAACGCCGGAGTTTGCTGCCTTGAACAACTACTTCAAAAGTGAAACTAAAAAACCGAACGGACATCACCCAGAACCACAGGAACGCTGGCTGAGTGGAAGTCCTACAACTAGGAGGAAAGAGAAACGCATACGGACACTCAGAGGAGGCGCAGTGCTGAAGTCAAATTCTGAGGTGCGGAGTGCGCGGAGAGGGCTGGCAGCGGAGGGCGCGGTTGGCGTTTTCAATCGGGAGGGAGTCGTAGACTCTGAGCTCCAGATACAGGCGAGTCTTTAGGGACCCAGACTCAAACGGGAGAAGTGGGACTGTCTGGCTTCGGTCAGAGCGAGTGCAGCTTTCTCTCCGAGGTTTGCAGCGGGTGCTGGGACTCAGAGAGGAAGAGCCCCTGGAGACAGGACTGAGAGCCGCCATAACTGCTCTCTCCAGCCCACCCTGTTGATCCTGTGCGACCCCCCCCCCCCCCCGCCCAAGCCCTGCACACAGGCATTTGCCGGATAGCCTCAGGCAAAGGCTAGATTAGCACCTCCCTAGAGGACAGAAGTTCTCTCACTGCTGACACAGCTGATTCTCATAGCCACTTGGCCTGGAGCTCAAACCCTCCCTGGTATTAGCTACAACAATCAAGGTTTAACTATAAGACTGCGCACAAAGACCACTAGGGGGTGCACCAAGGAAGCATAACAAAATGCGGAGACAAAGAAACAGGACAAAATTGTCAATGGAAGATATAGAGTTCAGAACCACACTTTTAAGGTCTCTCAAGAACTGTTTAGAAGCCGCCGATAAACTTAATGAGATCTACAAAAAAACTAATGAGACCCTCGATGTTATATTGGGGAACCAACTAGAAATTAAGCATACACGGACTGAAATAACGAATATTATACAGACTCCCGACAGCAGACCAGAGGAGCGCAAGAATCAAGTCAATGATTTGAAATGCGAGGAAGCAAAAAACACCCAACCGGAAAAGCAAAATGAAAAAAGAATCCAAAAATGCGAGGATAGTGTAAGAAGCCTCTGGGACAGCTTCAAGCGTACCAACATCCGAATTATAGGGGTGCCAGAAGATGAGAGAGAGCAAGATATTGAAAACCTATTTGAAGAAATAATGACAGAAAACTTCCCCCACCTGGTGAAAGAAATGGACTTACAGGTCCAAGAAGCGCGGAGAACCCCAAACAAAAGGAATCCAAAGAGGACCACACCAAGACACATCATAATTAAAATGCCAAGAGCAAAAGACAAAGAGAGAATCTTAAAAGCAGCAAAAGAAAGAAACTCAGTTACCTACAAGGGAATACCCATACGACTGTCAGCTGATTTCTCAACAGAAACTTTGCAGGCCAGGAGGAAGTGGCAAGAAATATTCAAAGTGATGAATACCAAGAACCTACAACCAAGATTACTTTATCCAGCAAAGCTATCATTCAGAATTGAAGGTCAGATAAAGAGCTTCACAGATAAGGAAAAGCTAAAGGAGTTCATCACCACCAAACCAGGATTATATGAAATGCTGAAAGGTATCCTTTAAGAAGAGGAAGAGGAAGAAAAAGGTAAAGATACAAATTATGAACAACAAATATGCATCTATCAACAAGTGAATCTAAGAATCAAGTGAATAAATAATCTGATGAACAGAATGAACTGGTGATTATAATAGAATCAGGGACATAGAAAGGGAATGGACTGACTATTCCTGGGGGGGAAAGGGGTGTGGGAGATGCGGGAAGAGACTGGACAAAAATCGTGCACCTATGGATGAGGACAGTGGGTGGGGAGTGAGGGCGGAGGGTGGGGTGGGAATTGGGAGGAGGGGAGTTATGGGGGGGAAAAAAGAGGAACAAATGTAATAATCTGAACAATAAAGATTTAATTTAAAAAAAAAAAAAGAAAAGAAAAAAAAGAAATAGGTAGCTGATAAACATTTGGGGGTAAAAAGTTCAACCTCCCTAAGTAATAAATGTAGCTCACATGAGAAAAATTTGGCCTACCAAATTGAATAAGGTTTTTAAAATAATACTCAATACTTGATAATGACACTAATAACTAACTTCCTGGGCACTATTGTGTCAGATGCTGGGCCAAGCCTTGTAACACGGCTGTGAGAGATGCTTTCATATCCCGCCTGTAGGGTAACTTGGTACAAATTGGAATTTAGCAATGTGTCAAAAGGTAGAAATTTGTACCTTTTGATCTTGCAATTCCATTCCCTATTAATCTATTCTAAGAATCTACGACAGATAGTCAAAGATGCATGGGCAAGGACATTTATCATGGTGTAATATATGGTAGCAAAAACCTCGAAACAATCTATATACCCAAAGATAGGAGAAGAGTTAAACAAATTTAAATTGCAATACATTTATATAATGTACCCTTATATCAGAATTAATATCCTGTTCTTAAAATTGATGGCAGGAGATAATGCTCACAATAACAGTTTTAGGGAAGGAAAGAAGGACGTAAAGTTGCATATAGCCAAATATTCCGATTTTATTTTTTTAAAACAATATTTCTAGATAAGAGAGTCCTAGATGCCTCCATGAATAGGTAGGTATGGCAGGGGAAATACATAGCAAGGGCTGTGGGCGGGGCCAGGGATCAGCCAGCACATACATGCTCCACCTATTGGGGTTCAAATGCTAAGCCAACACACAATTGCAAGATGAAAACAGCCCAGGGATCTTTTTTGGTGCCTTGCTGGGAATCAAACCGATGACCTTTCGGTATATGGGACAATGCTCAACCAACTGAGTCACACCGGCCAGGGCCAGCCCAGGGATCTTGAGTTTGTGATCTATCCCCGAATTCCAGGCAATAGCAATGCCATGTGAGTTTTAGAATTTGGGTGGCTTTTATTTCTCCTTCCTCTTCTGTATGTTCCACATTTTCTACCGTGAATCTCGACTACTTTTATAACCAGAGGGAAACAGTCAAAATTACATGGCTGTCAGAATGTAGGAAGCTATTGGCCAAGCACATGAAGAAGTCTAGACCGAAGACAGTCTTAGGGCAGATGGATGCCGTTTCTGGTTTCTTCTCATTGCACCTAGAACATTCAGTTGCGTTTGGTTGAACTCCTGGACATGGCAGGCACTCCATCCACTGCTGGAGCCCATGCAGGGCCTCAGAGAGGCCCAGCAGCATCTGTGGGGCTGCTCTATGAATAGCACATCCCTGGCGTTCCACACCGGTGTTGATCCCCAGGCCTTGAACTATGAAATCTGCTCCCTACTTGATAGACGCAAGAAATAGGGTTAAAATAGCATAAATATAAGATGCACAGCCTGCCACCTTTAGGGGACACACACACACACACACACACACACACCAGGGAGGCGCTGATGGAAGTTTTAGAGGAAGGCAGTTGTGGTGACGAGGAAGGGTGGAGATGGGTTTCCTGGGGTGTTTCGCATCCACAGGAGCTGCAGCAGCACTTAGTCTGTGACTCCTCCTGCCCCAGAGGCCACTGTTGCCAGGTGACAGCTGGTGGCTTCCAGGAAATAAGCTTATGGCTCCTGTTGACTTTCCAGTTTCTGTTTTGCAGAAGCTGCCCCAGATGATTCTTTTGCCCGTTAGGTGTCTCCCAAAGCCTGAACCAAATTGGCTCTGGGCACAGGGGGCAGCTCCTGCCATACAGCAGGTTCTGAGTGTTCAGGGGAGGCCAAAAGATTCCGGTTCCGGCACTCAGCCCAGTCTGGGTGGGCACACCAGCTGCCCGCCCATAGGTACAGCCAGATGCTCAGGGCATTCTGGCTTTGCTGATATGTCTATTAGCGGGGCTTATGAAACCCATGAGGGGCCTGGTAGGAGAGCGCAAATGATTTCTAGAAGAGCCGATGAGTAAAGATTCGCACTGTGTAGCTGAGTGTCCCCTGCAGTTCACAATAAAGGAGGCTTACGGAACATTAGGACGTTAGAGGCTCGAGCTGGTGCTCCCCTGGGAGGCCTCAATTAAAGCAAGTCAGTATTGACTTGCCCTTGGCTGAGCCAGACATGCTCAGAGGATTTGCATTTCCCCTGCCTGAGCTGTTATCACGCGCCCTTCGTGAACCCGTCCATTGCATGGGGTCCCGTCCACTCTACACGATGCACTGTGAACCGCTTTAGAAATCGAATGGTAAGGACAGCAGGGCCTTGTCAGATGCTGCAGGCTAGCAGCCAGGGAGCTGAGCGGGAAGGCCAAAGTCAGGAGGGAAAGGTAAGTGGGATCACAGAAGTATTTTCAGTGTCCTATGCACATCAAGATGCTAAAAAAATAAAATAAAATAAAAAGAGAACCCTCAACAACACACACAGACAACAATGAGTTACATGGATGCTCATTTTCACAAGGAAATTGGAAGTCCAGCCAGTTTCTTTTTTAAAAAAATACTTTTTTTCTTTCATAGAGGAAGGGAAAGGGAGAGAAACATCAATGATGAGAGAGAATCACTGATTGGCTGCCTCCTGCACCCCCCACACACACACTGGGGATCGAGCCCACAATCCGGGCATATGCCCTTACAGGGAATGGAACCGTGACCTCTTGGTTCATAGGTCAACACTCAAACCACAGAGCCACGCTGGCCCGGCCAGCCAGTTTCGTAAGCATAATGCAAACCATGTATCTTAAGACAAACGGCGTATCAGGCAGGCTTGAGTTCAAATTTTCGCTCCATCACCAACTAGAAGTATGATCTTAGGCAAGTTAAGTGACCTCCCTAAGCCTTGGTACTCTCAGTTATAATGTGGTATGACTGTAGTACCTGTTTCATAGGATTGTGAACCTAAATATGTACATGTGACACAGTTAACATGGTGCCTGGCCTGTTCAGTGTACTAGTAAGCTCTCAATAAGTAGGCTTAGTCATTATTTTTATAAGGCACGTTTTAACCAAATGATTCCATCAATAGTAATTCCTCTCTCCTCTCTCTGTGTCTCCTCATACTTCAGGTCCAGGGCATTGGGGGGTAAAATTGTATTTATAGCCAGAGGTTACAAATTGACTAGGGCAGGGGTGGGCAAACTTTTTGACTTGAGGGCCACAATGGGTTCTTAAACTGGACCGGAGGGCCGGAACCAAAGCATGGATGGAGTGTTTGTGTGAACTAATATAAATTCAAAGTAAACATCATTACATAAAAGGGTACAGTCTTTTATTTTTTTAGTTTTATTCATTTCAAACGGGCCGGATCCGGCCCGCGGGCCGTAGTTTGCCCACGGCTGGACTAGGGGCTAGTGAAAAAGAGGAGGTAATGAGAGCATTATTGATTTTTACTTGCACTAAGTAGTAAACGTAATCACAGATCATATATTTAATTGGGCACCAGCTTCTAGAGCCTTCCTCCCAATCTGCCAAGGCAGACTGTACTTTTCTTAAGATTTTGTAGAGCTGTGTGTGAAGCAGGAGTGTCATAAATGTGTGTTGTATGAATTCAGATCACAAAGCACTGGTGGTTTTTGTAGAAGTCATTCCTGGAGTGTTGGTTTTCCTTCCCAACAAATACTGGAATAAAAACCACCATCTGAGAGATTTACCCATCACCAGCCCTGACTGGCTTGGGGCTGGACAGTCTGCCCGAAGCTTCTGCAGACAGGATGTGTACCCTCCAGGTCAGCCCTATTCCCCCAGAACCAGCCTGAGTTCCACAAACATACAAAGGAGACGTGCGATGAAGCCAGCTCTGGTGCAGAAGTCTCATACCCTCCCGCCATGTTGACCACATGTCTTTTCTCCTCGAAGCTTGTTTGTGGCCTCAGGGACTCTCACCCTTGGCAGCGGAGGTCTTTCATCCGTGAGCACTGATAGTAAAATGATAAATTTGTCTTTTCTCAATGCAGACGCAGTTCAACGAGAAGGCCCCGTGTGGGCAAGTGACACTAAGCTGAAGAGGCCAATCCTGGAGAGAAGAAACTTGGTCCCATCCTCCCAGCCATTGGCGATGAGCAAGAATGCCTCCGAACGAGCCAGAAAAGGGGACCCACGTGCCCTTTCCCAGAATGAGCCACATCCAGCCCTATCCCACGCCTTCCCAGGAATGAACAGTCCTCGAGTACTGAGTGAGACCTTGGGGCCACCACTCTTCACCACCACCATGGGAGGGTCGAGAAGGGTGCCATTTAGGTTCAGAGATGAAGATTTTTATTCCATGTTGTCATTAAGCCGTGGAGATGAAGATGATGACACTGACGAGGAAATCCACGCAGAGGAAGAACTTCTGTGGCTCGGTGTGCACTCGCCCCGTTCTCCTTCCAGTCATAAGAGAAGTCAATTTCCTGGAACTCAGGCCAAAAACAAAAACTGTAAAGAAAATCCTGAAAATTGCAGGGCTAATTCTGTAAGGACTGAGTCCAGTCATGGCTCACTGGGAATCAGCAATGTAATGGAGCCAGCGAAAGAGCAGCCTTCTGTTGGGCAAAGGATGTTCCAAGACCCCAGGCTGCCTGATGGGGAGTGTACTAAAGAGAAAGACAGTGGTGACAGTGGAAATGAGAGAAAGACCTTTCGTTCACAGGACACCAAATTCAAACCTAATCTAGACGACGATCTCAATGCTGAAAATGTGTTTAGTGATCCCGCTTCTCTAGAAGGCAGGCCTGGGACCCACGATTATGAAAGAGAATGGCAAACCCATTTAAATAGTTCTAGTGCTTCTCTTGATTATTTTGTGTCTGGAAGACCAACAGCTCCAAGATCATCAATAAATTCATCTTATAACACTCCTGGATCATTCATGCATTCGGCCCCGAGAGAAGACATTCCAGGAGACTTATCAATGACATCGACTTTAGTTCACAGTTCAGACTCAGAGGGAAACTCAAGGTTTAATGTTCGTCAACCACTGTCTCCAATTAGAAACAGGAATCCATCCGCCAGAGCCGAAGACCACAGTTACTGTCCAGTAAACAGTGTACGTGAATTTGGTGTCAGGGGAGCGGAAGCTAATCCGTTAACAGGTCCGTCTCAGAGGGCTCCAGTGCACACAGGAGATCGCTTACTAAATTCTCAAAGCAGCGTGCCGCTGGCGGAGCCTCCCGGCTCCTTCCCATCAAGAATGAACTTACAAGGCCACTGGCTTGTGCCTGGGTCCCTGCAAGAAAATATGCCACTTACTTTCTTTGCAGTGTCTGATTTCTCAAACCAAAGTGGTAATGGGGACAGAAGGGCAGTCTTTGGTTTCATAGATGAAAAAGAAGCCACTAAAAAAAAGGCAGACCCAGAGAAACTCAAGAAATTGCAAGAAAGGTGAGGAATTTTCATGATTATATGTAAATACATATATTTTTTATTCCATTTTGCTGAAATAATCAGTGCTTTTATTAGAGGGTCATGGAAATTTTAAATAATACGTAGGCCCTTCCTTGACATTTTAATGACTACGTATACTGAGAAAGTTATCTATTCTGTTGCTCTTAAAATATATGCAGCTATAAAAGAAAGTATGGTGTTCCAGTTCAATTTCTTCAGTATTCCCTATGTGTTTTTCTACCCCTCTCGAATACTGCAATTTTAAGAAAGATAAGTTTGCTAGATATAAGGATTTCTGACTGTTCCATAAGACTAGCATTTCTTACTGCAATTAGGAAACCAAATTTTTTATGAAAGGATTGCTATCTCCCCAACATCAGCACTTAAAATTCACCAGCTCTCCCTCATGAGACTTTGCACAAATCCAACCAACAGTTTTAGAATTTGAATCTCCCAAAGTAAAAGGCAGGTCCCCCAATGGTTACCATAGTTACCGCAGTTCTCTGAAGGGCTGCTCTGGGGTAACCACTGCTTCCATTTTATTTATTTTTTATTATTTGTATGTTTTTTTAAATTTACTATTTCAGAGAGGAAGGAAGAGAGAGAGAAACATCAATGAGAGAGAATCATCGACCGCTACCTCTTGCATTCCCCCTACTGGGGGTGGAGCCCGAGATCTGGGCATCTGCCCTGACCAGGAATCAAAACCTGACCAGGCACCATTGCCTCCATTTTAGGCGCGCGCTCTCTCTCTCTCTCTCTCTCTCTCTCTCTCTCTCTCTCTCTCTGTGTGTGTGTGTGTGTGTGTGTGTCCCTCTCTTTGTTAATCCTCACCTGAGGATATTTTCCCCATTGATTTTAGAGAGAGAAAGGGACAGAGAGAGACACAGAGAGAGAAACATCAATGTGAAAGACACACATCGATTGGTTGCCTTCTACACATGCCCAACCAAGGCCAGGTATCGAGCCCGCAACCAAGGTACATGCTCTTAACCAGAATCAAACCTGGGACCCTTCAGTCTGTAGGCTGACGCTCTCTCTATCGAGTCAAACCAGCTAGGGCTAGGAGCTCTTTCTCATGCGTGAGAGAGTAGATTTTTTTTAAAAAATTTTTTATTAATTTCAGAGAGGAAGGGAGAGGGAGAGAGGGATAGAAACATCAATGATGAGAGAGAAATTGCTGATCCGCTGCCTCCTGCACACCCCCCACTAGGGATCAAGCCCACAACCCCGGGCATGTGCCCTGACTGGGAATCTAATCAAGACCTCCAAACTCATAGGTCCATGCTCAATCACTTAGCCACACCAGCTGGGCAGGAAGTAGATCTTTTTTTTTTTTTAATTACTCTTTTATTTCTTATGAGTTCATATTGGATATTTCACGACGATCAAGTTTGATCATTTGAAAGCCGTCATTCAGCAGCACGTCAGGATGCTGCCTTTTCATTTATGTTAGGTGTTACTGTGCCCTGATCTTGGCTCCCAGATCTGGAAATCAATTCTTAGAATTCTGGCCCTCTATGTGTAGCTAATGTGGGCCACTAATTATCCTATTGATATTCATTTGTGAGTGGGAAATTCCATGGTAATGAGTTAGACATACAAAAAAGGAGAAAGAAATGGAACATAGAATGCATACATACTCCTAGATGCCTTTTATCCAACTGCAGGAATGAAGCAAGTTCCTAGTTAGTAGCACCTTTTTCTTTTCTTAAACAAGGTACCAGGAGACTGCCCCATGGTTAAAGACCAAACGCCCCCCATCCATCCATCCTCCGCTACCCAGAAGTACAGCTTCAGACCCACTTGGCAGGAGTCTCAACCTCCACCATCCAAAGTGATGCCTTTGAACTAAAAATAATTTTCTTTAAAAATACTTCTACTGTACTTCTAGGCACGGTAGTGCATGAAACAGTTATTATCTGTGTACTTTATCAGACACTCTCTTTTTTCTGTATATAATAAATCTTACACCTTTCTCACTTCAAAAATATTCATTTTAAGAATTATTAGAAATATGAACTTAAAAGAAAAATTACCTATAACTCTATAGTTCAGCGATAAGCACTGTCAAAACTGTTTTCAGTCTTTTATCTTTGCATGTAAATGCAATTTTGAGTAAACATTGGTTCTTATTTCATAACTAGTGGCCCAATGCATGGATTCATGCACATTGAAAGAAAATTAATTAGCAGAAATATTTTAATATCACTATTCACCCTTTCTCTATAATAGAAGTGTCAACCAAATTCACAATCGACAATAACAGATCAAAACACACACGTGCAATTGACACTAACGAGAGCTTTATATGTATCATGCATGCACGAGTTAATGTTTATTTTTAAATTGCCAGTGGTGTCCTATGTACCAACTGGTCAGTCGGTCAGATGGTCGGACGGACAGACGGTCGGTCACTTAGCCTTTTATACATATATATAGATATAGATATAGATATAGATATAGATATAGATATAGATATAGATATAGATATATATAGATATACCTTACTTTAATGTTTCAAGCCCATTTCTCAGTGCACTTTATGCTCATTAAAATGTTTCCCTTGCTGAAACCGGTTTGGCTCAGTGGATAGAGCGTCGGCCTGCGGACTGAAAGGTCCCAGGCTCGATTCCAGTCAAGGGCATGTACCTGGGTTGCGGGCAATTCCCCAGTGGGGGATGTGCAGGAGGCAGCTGATCAATGTTTCTCTCTCATCGATGTTTCTAACTCTCTATCTCTCTCTCTTCCTCTCTGTAAAAAAATCAATAAAATATATTTTTTAAAAAAATTAATAAAATGTTTCCCTTGGTTAGTTACTTTAATACATACAAATAAGTATATAACATATGTACCTTCCAGAGAATTAGAAAGAAAACAAAACCCAGACATCTCTGTGTCCACCTTCGAGCTAATAGAACATTGCTGGAGCTGGTGAGCCCCTCACCCACCTTGTCTCACCTCCCTCCCGCAGCCCATCCGTCCCACCCCTTCCACCCCGAGGAAATCATACATGCATTGCACTTATCATTCTTTGCTTTTTACTTTGTTGTTATTGAATTTATTTTGCTTTATGGTTTTACCATATTAATATATGTCCTCTTAAACAATATATTGTGCATATTTTTAAATTCTATAGAAATGCCACTATTATTTTTTTAATATCTATTCTGAGAAATGTAATATCTATTCTTCTACAATTTGCTTTTTCCCCTTATATCATTAGTGAGGTGCATCCTTGATGATATATTTAGCTTTAAATCGTTCACTTTTACCATTACAAAGTATTCATTATATGACCACCACCACAATCCGGCCATTCTCCTGTCGATGGACACTTGAGTTCTTTGCTATTTTCTGCAAACAGCTCAGTGTGAACAATCTCGTAAGCATCTCTTGGTGCACATGAAAAGAGTTCTCTGGGATATTATTTTATCTAGGAGTGGAATTGCTGGGCTGCGGGTGGCATACCTTTCACCATACTAAATAATGTGAATTTATTGTCTCACCTTGCCAGCACTTGTATTGATTGTCCTTTCAAATTTTTGCCAATCTGATGGGAGCAAAAAGATATTGTCGCTTTAATTTACACCTTCGTAACTATTAATGAGGCTAGGCATATTATGCGCTCTTTGGAATATTAAATGACAATTGTGTTTCCTCTTCTGTATGTCTTTGCCCATTTTTTAAGAATATTTTTATTTTATTTTAGAAGTCCTTTACATATTCTGGCCACTAGTCTAATCGTTTGGCAGTTATATCTTAGAGATATATTTTCCCAATTGGTAGTTTGTCTTTTCCCTTTTTTGATGCCTTTAAATGAAAAGAAATTCTCAGTTTGAACGTGGTCAAATGTATCCACCTTCTTTTGAATTGTGATTTGTATCCTGTTATCTTAAGAAACCTTTCCCAAACCTGGGGTCATCATTCTTCCTATTTTCTTCTAAAATCTCTACAGTTTTACTTTGCAATTTAGAACTCAACATGAAATGGATTTGGGACTTAACTGTAAAGCGATGTTTAATATGTGGTGTGAGGTACGTGTTATGAATTCCAGTTGTCCCAGGATCTTTCCCTGCTGGCCTACAGACCACCTTTCTCATGTAGCATACATATCAATGTATAAACTCCATTTCAGGACTCTCTGTTCTGTCCTATTGGTCCTTTTGGTTGATCCCTGATCCAGTATCACATCATCTTAAAATCTGTACCATTATAAATTTTGATAATATGGTACAAAGCCTCCCTTTCTACTTTGCTCCTTAAAAAGCCCTTGACTATAGTTAAGAATCAGCTTGCTGGGTTTTCATTGGAATTGCATTGAATCTATAGATTATTATGGGGAGACATGACATCTTGGAGATAAACATTTCTTTGATAAACATGGTATACATATCTTTTTTCTTTTGTGTCCATAATGGAAAACTATAATTCTGTTCTTTTTTTATTGAACTTCCTTTTCTTAGGGAAAAAGTTCTCTTAAGAAACTAAGCATACACTTCTACACCCAGAGCAGGGACCGTTTCTCCCTCCCTCTTGATTTTAGTCTCTAGTAGTTTCCTTTCCTTGACCAGACAGTCCCCAGTCCCATGAAATTCTAAACAACAACAACAACAAAATAGCATTGTGTTTCTCAAAGGCCTCCCTACATGAACATCAACCAGCTAGTCTTCATTCACCATTTATTTGACACAAATATATTTGCTTACATTTTTATTCATTCCATCCTCATCAGATTCTGGAATACTGGTATCAATTGTTGGCAAGTGTCGTGGTATTGGTGAGCTCATGTCCACATTTATTGGTTCATCATTCATCCCAAACAACATCTACTGAGTGGCCTCTATGTGCAAATACTTTGGATGCACTTTACAGTTTGCAGAACAGGTTCACCATCATCCTTGCATCCAGTCTGCCCATGACCCTTGACGTAGGTAGCGGGTGTATCATTATCACCCTGGCATTACCCACAAGGAAACAGAGACCTGGGAAGCTTAAGTCACGGGTCCAAAGTCGCCAAACTCACAAGTTGCGGAGGCAAGCCTGACCACAGATCCCATGCACTCTCCCACAGCTACAGAGCCGACTTCCTCACAGTGGCCACGGCAGGGAGAGGGGTTCCCAGCCTTTCCCACAGCTCCCCTCCCCGGCCCTTTCCCACCCCTCCAGACTTAGGGTAGCATGCTGGTTCTCCTGGTCAGCTCACTGCATCAGCTACTGCAGAGCCACCTGGTATAACTCTCCGTGCGCCTATTATCAGTAACCACACCTGGAAGAATCTTCAGGAGGGTCAGAGGGAGCAGGGGTGGAACTGGGAGCCCTGCGGGCAAGTGTGGGGGGATTGCTCCCCACCCCCACCCCCATTCACGCCCTGGGAACTGGTATTTGTGGAAACTGCAAACGTGTGCACCCTTGGTCACGAGGGCTTGTTTTCCGTTTAGTCTCCTGGAGGAGGACTCAGAGGAGGAGGGAGACTTGTGTCGCATCTGTCAGATAGCCGGGGGTTCCCCCACCAACCCCCTCCTGGAGCCTTGCGGCTGTGTGGGAAGCCTGCAGTTTGTTCACCAGGAGTGCCTGAAAAAGTGGCTGAAAGTGAAAATAACGTCAGGTAAGCGGGGGAGGAAGAGCGAGCGGCGGACGTGCGAGGACACAGAGTAAGAGGAGGCGCCGCAGTGTGGGACTCAGAGCCTTGACAACAGCTCGCTCACCTCCTCCGAGCAGGAACTCGGAAACGCGGCCGCCAAGCCCGGCTCCTGCTCACAGCCCTGGCCGAGAGTATCAGGAATCAAGGCTGTCTTTACATCATGAGGGGAAGGAAATTTTTTTTTCAAGTCTGAGAGCAGAATCCTGGTCCTTATGCTATTGATCCTGACCCCTGCTTGAGGCCTCAGCAGAGGTCCCAGAAGGAAGGGAACTAGAAATGGGTCAGCCGTTGAACCTCAGCAAGCACACAGCCACCATGCCAGTTAGTAGACACCTGGCCAAAACAGTTCTGCTTCCATTTATTTAAGGCGGGGATCGGGGGGAGGAGGGGAGGTCACTAAAGAAACAGAGCAGAGCTGCCTTTTTGCAGTAGGGGTAGGAAAAGAGCACTGACCGAATTTTCTAGAACCTTATTAGATAAGGAGCCTTCCATGTGCTGGGTTTGTCAACTCCGTCTTTAGCCGATCAGATCTTGTAACTGGGCATGAAGCCCCAACTCCCTGGGGAGGTTATAATCTAAATACAGCCACATCAGTAGGTCAGTGTAGTTTTCTTGGCAGAGAAGGGGGGGTTCTTTCAAACATGGTTTTAGGAATGAGAGCCACTTGAGCAAAAAAAATACAGACGCCCAATGCAAAGAGCAACTCAGTGAGAAAATAGCTGCTATGTCTTTCAGACACACGTCTCCAAAACATTTTTTTACCCCCTAATCAAATCCTCTTTCCTGCCTCTCCTACTTTCTCCTCCTTCATGGCCATCCTTCCAGGCAGCCTGGGAGACCTAAGAGCTCTACCCTGTCCCCAGGGGGTATGGCTGTGCCCCCTTAACTAGAGCAGAACACCATTGAATCAGAGAAGTGCACATGGGATGATCACACTGTCTGCTCCCTGAGGCCCTTACACCATAAACGAATCTGCCGGAGCACACGCAACCTAGGGCCACTGCCCACACGGCTTAAATGCATCTCCGTGTGGTGTAGGCAGAGGACCGAGTCCCTCCAAGAGCAAAGAAACGAGTGGATTTCGGCTGCTAATGACTCTGCCATGCAATATTTTCTCTTACTAGAAATTTAGGCTGATTATGCATCCAGCACAGAAAAAAAAAATGACTCATGAAATAGACGACGGAAGTCCTGTTAAATGCTTATAAATGCCGACGCTGGTCGGGTGTGTTGAGCAGGATTAGGTTGGAAGACACATGAGACATTCAGTAGCCTACAACATTGCAGGCTGTTGCTTAAAAAAGAAAAATCGAAAAAAATAATTAACAGTTAAAAATCAAAAATAAAGAAAATTTTTAAAAAAGTCGAGTGAACAAAATGCAGATAGGGGATTACTGTCCATCCTTGTCCTTTGAAATTCTTTATTATTTACTATTTCTCCTTACCCTCGGTGGGGAAAAATAGGGCTCCGAAACTGAGCAAACCTTATCTTTACCAAGTAAGTGCGGTAACTGATTCGTCCTGCGTTCTCTAATGCAAGCATGTCAAACTTGCGGGCGGAGGGCCGCATCCCTCGTTCATTTGGCCAGTGTTAGCCTTTGAGTTTGACATGCTTGCTCTAAAGTATAAAATAAACGTTGGCACATCATTAGCTCAATGCAGCAACGACACTGAGGGAAAGACGTCTGGAAGACTGTTTGCCCAGACAGAACAGCCACAGGTCTGCGTCTTCCACTTTTGCACTGGGAGTAGGATAAGTGGAGAAAAATGCTGATCCTAGAATACATGTTTAAAAAAACAAAAACAACAACAAAGGAAGCCTTCTCGTGTTTCTTTTCCCAACTCTGAGCTCAGGTTCAAGTGCTGGCCCCGGATACTGCTGTGCTAGTTCCCACACGTGGCCCCCGGCTCCCTCACTTTTCTCAGGTGAGAAGTCACTTGCGTGGGAGCTAAGGCAGATTTTAAGCCACAGATTGAGGATAGCTTCCGCCATCCATTTGGTCCCCACCAATTTATTTACTTGGACCTGTGTTAGATCTGCAAAAAAAAAAAAAAAAAAAAAAAACCCACACAAAATAGCAAAAACATAGGCCCAATATTTACTTTTTTTTTTCTTTTTTGCAAACACCTGGGTTACAGACTCTCAACCTCCATGTAGCAAATCCAATTTTATGAACCAGTATGTTTATATTAAAACTGAAAGCAAGACCTGTTATTTAAAAGTCATGGGACTTTCACTTATACGAAGCTTGCATAATAATGAAAGCGATTGCAAAGGAAATTTTTCCATTCTCAGATTCAAGGTCATTTTCTCAGGAAGATGACCGACTTTAAAAGAAGGTCACTGAAACTCTGAATTCATAACACACACAAGTTGGCTCTCAAAATGTCAACACCAAAAGACCCAAAGTGTCAACACAGAAAGACCCAGGGTCACACATAACAAAGAATTCTTTAATTTAAGGGGCGAGTCTAGGCGCTGTGAAGACCTGTGAGATGTGTAAGCAAGGCCTGCTGGTCGAGTTGGATGATTTTAACATGACTGAGTTCTACCAGAAGCACCAGCAGTCCCGGGTAAGAGACGCGCACTACCACTCTGCCCCCCCAGGCTAAAGTCGGTTAGACATACAGGGTCAGCCCTAGCCAGTTTGGCTCAGTGGGTAGAGCCTCCGCCTGCGGACCAATAGGTCCCAGGTTTGATTCTGGTCAAGGGCACATACCTCGATTGCAGGCTCCTACCCGTCCCGGGCCCTGGTCAGGGCTCGTGCAGGAGGCAACCAGTCAATGTGTTTCTTTCACGTGGATGTTTCTGTCTTTCTCCCTCTCTTCCACTCGCCCTAAAAGTCAATGGAAAAATATCCGAGGGTGAGGATTAACAACAACAAAATAAGGATAATAGAGGTACAAAGTCAGAGAAACCCTTTCCCCGATATAAGGAAGGCAGAGGCCTGTGCACGTGTGCAGTGGGGAGTGTTTCTTTAGCTCCCTTCTTGGAGAAGGTCTGTTACTAAATTAGAACATTGGAGGGTTGGAGAGTCTTGATCACCCTGGGTTGAGGTCCCGCTGCTGTCAGGGACAAAGATAGGAAGCTGTAGTCGCTGAATGGACACACAGAAATAGGAAAAGTCCGGCAGGCTCTGAGCCCAGATTTGCTGAAGGAATTTAACAGCAACAGGAGAAAAAAAGATCAGGATCTTAGAGGAAATGGTCTTCCATTTATATATCAGGTAACTCTGGGATGCTCGGGAACTGCCTAACTCAAGGGTAATAAGCATGTAGTAAGCACCTACTGTGTGCTTTTTAACACCTAGTGAATGAACTCGCCTGGGGTATTTGAATTGCAGTTCTAATACTGTAAAGGAGTTAGTTAACCTTAGGTGGGAAAGTGATGTATGCCCAGGATAACAGTTAATTGCCCATCTCTCAGACAAACAATCTGTATTTAGAATGCACTGTACAATGTGGAAGCCAGAAGCCACATGTGGCTAATGAACAGGTAGCTACTTCCAACCAGGATGTGTTAAATACAAACTGAATTAAAAAATAAAGTGTCAAGTATCACATAAATACATTTATATTCATTATTTGTTGAAATGATAATATTTGGGATATATTGGGTTAAATAAAATAAATTGTTAAGATAATTTCACCTTTTTTTTTAGTTCTCTAATGTGGCTACTTGGAATTTTCAAGTTACATGCGTGGCTTGTATATGCGGCCCACACTATGTTTCTTTTCTATTGGTTGGTACTGATCTATAAGGTGCCTTGCACATAATAATCAATCAATAAATATTTATCAAATGAAAATAGCTCACCTGACCATTATAATTTAAGAATGACCTCCCTCACAATGTGATTAGAAAAAAAAGATTAGCCCGACCAGCGTGGCTCAGAGATCGACCTATGAACCAGAAAGTCACAGTTCGATTCCTGGCCAGGGCACATGCCCGGGTTGTGGGCTGATCCCCAGCGTAGGGCACGCCAGAGGCATCTGATCAATGATTCTCTCTCATCATTGATATTTCTATCTCTCTCTCCCTCTCCTTTCCCCTCTAAAATCAAAAATAATTTTTTTAAAAGATTAATAATCACGACTATAAAGCGCATAATTTTAAAACCATAAAATCATTGTTAACAACTGAAATGTCAGCCTCGGAGGAGGAGTCCCTGTGGCTGTCAGACCTGCAGCCTGTATCCAGACCTTTTGTGCCAGTAGCGCAGCTGAGCCTACATGGTGCATGTGAGTCTGGGCATTTCTGTAGTTACTTTTTTAAAACCCTAAGGCTGCCAGACAAAAGAGCGAAATATCGATAAGAATGGGGATTTGAACGGTGCAACTAATAAGGTTGATACAATGGGCATAATGCCACACCAGCGTTGCAAAGAATGTGCATCAGAGAGTGGGAGAGAGAGAGAGGAAGGGAGGGGGGGGAAAAAGGATTTTCTGAGAAATAAACTCAGTATTTTGAGTTCATACATGTTGAGGGTCTTGAATCATTCAGTCATAACCCCCAGGCACCGAGATCTGAGATGAGAAACAGAAGCGACTCACATTCTTGGACCCTGAGAATGTTAGAGTCAAAATTTTGAAAGGAACCAGGCCCTCTGTGTGCCTGAGGTCGGGGTGCCAGCTGGAGTGTAGACAGGGTCCATGTGGTCATCTCGAAGAACAGATTATTTCAGGAAACGCAGCCGGCCAGACTTCCTGAGAAGGACGCGTCCAGACCAGGCCGTGTTACTCGGAATGCTGCCAGGATGGTCTGCAGCCTCACCAACACCGTGCGGTCCGGGGAATGCCTCGTCCAGTAAATCCCCCTTCGGGCCCGAGCGTGTCCACACCGCTCTCCCTCTGCCAAGCTGCTGCCCTGCACCATGCACTGCTAAAATGTCTGCACTCACGAAGCCAGAAGCAGCCATCCCACCAAAGAACACACCAGCTTGGACTAAGACATGAACCTAAATCCTATTCCCTTCCCCAAAGTTGCTGTGTGATCTTGGGGACACTACACGAACTCTCTGAGCCTCGGTTCTCTCATCTATAGGAAATGGGAAGATGACAATTCCTGCCGACAGATGTAGGAAAAGACCCAAGTGCATCACCTAATACCACGTCTGTGCACAGAGGGTTCTCAGTAAGTGAGAACGGCCGTATTACAGCCACAGAGATGCCCATAGTCTTCGGCACTCCGGAGAGAAAGCTACGTGCACCCTGAACCAAGCCAACCGGCCTACTGCACGGGTCCACACTGCATCCTACCAGCTGAGACACCAGCTACGAGCACACTGTTAACAGAACGATGAAAGTCACTGCCAGCCAGAGTCCGGGCAGGAAAGAGACGATGGTAGATTCACAAGGGGTGAGTGCTGAGAGCTGAATGACGGGAAGAAATCAACAAGAAACGACGAAGCAACTGAGATGGCCAATGCGACCTCTGCTAGGCCTGCAGTGACAGGGGAGGGGCAGTTACAGGACCAGGAGAGCTGTGACCTTAGGAGAGACTTGAGTGGAGGTCACACCCCGCCCCTGGGAGCCAATAAGGGGAACAATTGTCCTAGCCTCCCCCCCATACCCTCCCCACCCTCCTCCACCCACACCCACTGGTCCGCCACAGCCTCCCTTTGGCCAAACCCAAGGGGAAGCCAGAGCACAAGGGGGTCTAGTTAGCACAATCCATGGAACTCGGCCTCAAGGCCACAGGGCAGGGTGGGAAGTGGATCTGGAGGGAAAAACGGAAATTACCCGGGGCCTCAATTACGTCACTTGGATGAAGAAAAGAGTTGAAATTGGTTTCAGTGAGAACTCAACCGGCTTTCAAAGACTTTTGAAAATGCCCCGCATCCCAGTCACAGGTAGGGACCAGGTCGGCAGCACTCGAGGGGCCACTTTTACAGCAGTTCTCACTGTTTCCGTGGCCCGTTGTGAATTTAATAGTGTCTGTGTGCTTAAGGCCCGAGTTAAACTTGAGACACTACAGAAGCATGACCTAGACACGTTCAGGAACTCTCCATGGATCAAGACTGAAGTAACTGTTGTTTAACACAAAGATGTAGAAGATGTAATACAACCTGGATGCGACCCCAGCTGGGGAGGCCCCGGCCTGGCCATAGGCCTCGCGGGCACAGCTGTGCACCTGCGATCCAGGCCCTTCCCTGACTCTCACACCTGGACTCCTCTGGGCCCTCCCAGCCCACCCTCCGTGCTGCTCTCACTCCTGGAAAACAGGTTCTCTTGTTGAGATGGGGTAGCCGGTGCCAAATACAGACACGTACAAAGACAGGGACAAAGCCAGGAGACGCCGAGGCCAGGCTTCAGCTCAGACTGGCTCTCGCCTGACCTCAGCTAACTTTAGCTAACTCACTAACTTACTTCCTCATACTTTAATTATAAAAATCGAAGACACACACACACACACACACACACAAAAATCTCCCCTAATTAAAACGAACATTTAGCTGCATACCCTTTTTTATGATTATTATTACATTAATACTGATGCCCGGGCCCAGCCTCAGTGATCCTGATTTAATTGGTCTGGGATGGGATCAGGCACTAATTTTTTTGTGCGAAGTGTGGCAAAATACACATAACACAGAAGTTCAACTTTTAAAGCACATGGAGTGCCTACCGTACGCTGGAGGTACCGTGGTGCCGAGGCCCACACGGCCGCTGCCTTCTAACAGAGAAGACTCTAAGTGATCATAACGTGGTGTGAGGGGCCCAGAACAAGGGACGTGCAGGCCGCTGTGGGAACAGCCACGGAGGGGCCTGACCTGCTCTCAGGACCAGAGAAGGCCTCCCCGAGGATGAGACTGTTAAGAACAAGAAGGAAAGAGAGGAAGTAGATGCCTCCCTCGAGGTCTGACCACAGACAGACCGGGGCCTTTGCCCAATTAGGGGCCCAATCAGCACTGACAGTGGTCTGGGCGGGTGGGAAGGGGCTTAGGTCAAAGTATGTTTTCCTGGTTTGGTTCAATGCAGAGTGAATGCTGCCCAAGAGCCCTAACAGGGCATTGAGATCTGATACCCCCTCGGTTCTCAGACATTGGGCGGTTCCCACAGGGCCCGATAGAGTCAAGGCTAGTTACTGAGCATCTAGTGGCTGGATTAGGAACTCTGCCAGGCTGCCTGGAGCGGCCCCAGGACGCTGAAGCAGCTGTGGGGCCCAGCCCAGCGGCACCATCGCAGGCCTGTCAGGTTTCATGGCCGTCAGCTCTCCGTCTCCGCTTATTCCTCACCCACGGCACATCTTTTGGAAGCGCTGCCGTGGGTGTGCTCTTTAACCGGAAGTAGTTGATTCTGGCTGGGACAGTCGGTTTTTTAGTGAAGGACGAACTCCTGGATAGTAACAAGTAGAGCTCCAAAAGGGGCCAGGAGAAAACAGGTATGTTTTGTTGTTGTTAATCCTAACCCGAGGAGAGTTTTTCCACTGATTTTTAGAGCGAGTGGAAGGGAGGGGGGAGAGAGAGAGAGAAACATCAATGTGAGAGACACACATCAATTGGTTGCCCCCCCCCCCCCCCCCACCGCCTGTGCCCCAGCCAGGGATTGGACCTAGCACCCTTCAGTCTGAGGGCCAAACAGGCCAGAGCAGAAAACAGGTGTAAGACAAATTTAGATCGCAGGCAGATCACAAGTGATCAGAATCTTCCAAGCGCCACAATAGGGAGTGGTGGCAATTGTGGCAAAAGGCAGAGTACTTCTCTCCAACTGACAATGTGCGTCTCCTTCCTTCTGTCCTGCCGGGGCTCATCTGCCGGCCACATGGAGCTTGCTCAGCTTCCAACTGTTGCTCCTCAGTTTACAGCAGTGGTTCTCAAGAATGGGTGGTCCCCAGACCAGCAACATCACTTGGGAACTTCTTAGAAACGCACGTCTTGGGTCCCACCCCAGACCCCTGAATCATAAACGGGGCGGGGGGGGGGGGGTGAGTTAGTACACAGACACCTTGTTTTAGAAGATTCTCTCAGTAATTCTGATTCATGTGAATGTCAGAGCTACCGGGGTCAGAAGTCATGGCTGAATGGGCCACTGCCTGGTCCAGAATGATACGTCTTTTCTCACTCTTTCACGTGTACATGTATGTATTGAGCAGGCACTGGGCCAAGGCACTCGAAGCACAGGAGCCAACAAGGCACATGGGGTCCTTGCCCGGAATCCTGTCTTCACTCTCCCCTCTCGCAGGACACTTCTGTTTTTCGAAATACTGTGCCCACGAGGATGAGCTCATTCTGCCATCATGCCTGGGGGAAGCAGGCAGAGCAGTGGTGACTGCTCCCCTTGGATAAATGGGGAGTCACTTCAGTCGTGCACAGCTTAAACTCTTCGCTCAACATCGTAGCCCTTGATGGCCCCGGGCTGCCCACTCCGGGCTGTGGCCACTGTGCGATGGAGACGCGCCCTGCCATCTGGGCCCTGCAGCGCAGGACGGTCTCGGCGGGGCTCTGGCTGGCGCTGCTCTGGAGCGCAGGCCTGGGCTCGCGCCATCGCAGCCGCGGGCAGATGTCCTTGGACACACGCAGGCACCTAATCACCCTCACACTTGGGAGCATCTCTTGAACATGTTTGAAGACGGGAGAGAACGTGCAGCCAGGCGGTCCACCTCCTGAAGTGGATTAAATGGAGACTTTCCATCGGTGGCAAATCTCTTGGTCGAAATGAATATTAACAAAATGAAGGGGGGGAGAGGGCAGGAGAGAAGAAAGGAAAACATCTGGCAGGAGGGCTGAGCGCTCCAGAGCTGCTGTCGCCTGCCTCACAGGCTTCTGCCTTTCCGGGCTCCCCACCCCCGCCCCCCACCCGTCCCCACGCTGCACGCGGGCACGAGGGCATCCAAGTGCAATGCGTTTGGGTCCGGGGAGGGCTGGGTCAGGAGTAGCCCAATAAATAACACTCCAAAGCCTAGCTCCTTTCGCCCTTGCGAACAAACACCCAGAACTCTCTGTGATGACCCACCCCTCCCACTTGTGGCTGGGGGATAAAGGACGCCGCCCTGCCCGGGTTGGCCGGCCCAGCCCCTTTGTCGAGCATCACAAGCTCCGCCAAGGGCCACATAAAGCAGCCTGGCCAGTGGGGTTCATGACGCCACGTGACAGGTTCCCGCCCACAGACCAGCGAGGAGACACAATCTGCTAGAAGTGACTTTTCAAATTATCTGCAGAAAACATTAGTGGATATTTTCCCATCTGCATGCCTCCGGGCCTTATTGAGTCATAAAGAGTAAATGATTTCCCTGAATGCTTTGACAAACCTGATCGTTCCAAGCCATTTTCGAGCTGATTGATTTGCCATTACGCATCGGAGTGTCTCTGAGCGTAAGAGGCTTACGGGCGATGACAGTGCAGGAGGCAGAGCGGCAGCTCGCAGGAGGCCGCCACCCGTGGAAAAGCAAACAGGACAAGGCGCGGTTTGCACTGAAGAGGAGGAGGGGCAGGCTGGGAAGGCTTCCCAGAGAAGGTGGCTTTGCAGACAGACACAAAGGAGGCACCCACTCCCGGGGAAGCGGGAGGAGGCAATGAAAGCAGAAAAGGGTGAAAACAAGCAACTTCCCCTCTGCCTACTCCCGGCCAAGGTCAGAAGAGCGCAGAAGAACGCGACTAAAGGCTAAAAATAGGAGGCCGACTGCCAAGGACAGTGGCAGAGCCTTTGAAGACGAGTCTGTAGGGTGGCGGAGGGGCCTTGAGCAGTGACCTTGGGGCCAGTGATCCCCCAGATCCGGAGTTGGCCCCCATTCAGGAGGAAGAATGCACCGGTCCTTGCCCAGCTTGGGCATCTTTCCTGGCAGCTGTTTAGTCCTGGAAGAAGTGTGTTCTGTGCCAGCTTCCCGAGCGGCCCTTGATGGGATGGGAATGTGGCTGCTGCTGCTGCTGCGGGAGCAAGGAAGAGGCACCGGGGTGGCCCCTGTGGCAGACCGGCTGCAGTTATCCTGGGAACACGGTCAGAGTTCGGACCTTTCCCAAGGGCGATGCAAAGGGCCACGCCCTCTGCTGGGAGCCAAGTCTCCCTGGGGCTTCCTGAGAGCCGTCTGGCTCAGTCCCCAGGCCCCGCCCCTGGAGATTTGGCATGAGGACAGATGGAGGATTAAAGGGGCGGAGGGGAGGAGTCCTTGCTAATGCCACTAATTTATTGAAGGTCAATGAAGCGTCCATAGGGCGAGGCCTTGCCACACAGACCACCAAAGGAGCTGAGGACAGAAGAGCCATGGTCAGCCAGGGGGCCAGGCCCACCCCATGTACCTCCCCCTATGTTCTAAGCACCAGTGAGAAAAATAAAACACGACCCACCCACCAAGAAAAGGCGAAAACATGAACAAGTGTTAGATGCAGTGTACAACATAAAGACAAATGCTTAGGAGTCGGGGAGTAAAGGGATAACTAAAACAATTGTTGGGAAGGCTCCTGTATGGAAGGGACATTGTGACAGCGATAAAAGAAGTTTTGGGCATGGCCTGGCAAAAAGGTGGAGAGGGGGCATTCAGAACAGAGACACAAAAACAAGCAAACAGCCCAAACCAGGAGAGGGCACGTGCAAAGGCCCTGGGGTTCACAGTGCCATCTGAGACCCTGCCAGGCACACGCTCTCTGGGGATTAAATGGTAATAGATGAGCCTGGATGGGGGGCAAGAGGGGAATAGGTGAGATCATTAAGTAAAGATAGTAACATAAAGAACCAAGGCCTGCTGTAGCTGGTTTGGCTCAGTGGATCGAGCCGTTGGCATGTGGACTGAAGGGTCCGGGGTTTGATTCTGGTCAAGGGCACATGCCCACGTTGCAGGCTCAATCCCCAGTGGGGGGCATGCAGGAGGTCACCGAGCAATGATTCTCTCTCATCATTGATGTTTCTATCTTTCTCTCCCTCTCCCTTCCTCTCTGAAATCAACAACAATATATTTTTAAAATAAATAAATAAAATTTTTTTTGGGGGGGGGGGGGACAAAAATAAGGCCTGTGCCCTTTCTCTGGGCAAATGAGGGATCTAGGAAAATAAAGTAACCCTCCCATGGCACCTGTGCCCCAAATTCTCCCATAGAAGTCTGCCTTCCTAAGACAAACATCACCTCTTCTCAGAGGCCAGAGCTACATCCATACTCCTCACTTCTGCCTAATATGGTCCCACCTCACCATCTCCCCAGCCCGTGGCAAATTTTTTTTTAAATCTAAAACAAACTCCTGCCACAAATACTCCAGCCACACCAGTGAGTCGGGAACTTGGGCCAACGCACACTGCTCTCCTTATCCCTATGTCTCTGCTGGCATTCAGCGCCTCCAAACGGCCCTTAATACCCCTCATAACCACCTTCCAAACTCCCTCCCATCCTTGAAGGACCATCACAGAAGCCTTGCCCCATGTCATAGCCTGGAGGCTGGAGCTTCTCCAGGACAGCCTCACTAAATAGTTAAGAATTCCCCCATGGCTGCCTGCCCTCTAGCCAGGACCCCCTCCTGCTCTGTTCTCTGGTCCCCGAGGGCAGGCCTGGCCTTGGGGCGTAGGCTCTCGCTCCTTTTTAAAATATACATTTTCTTTCTTTATGGATTTCAGCCTGCAACCCGGGCACGTGCCCTGACTGGGAATGAACCATGACCTTCCGGGTTCACAGGTCAATGCTCAACTACTAAGCCACCAGCTGGGCTCTTGTCCCATTTCTTGTCACCTCTTGGCCTTGTTACCCTCCATGAATATTTTATAGATGAACTTAAGAACTTTCTTTTCCAATGTAGCTGCAAAATGAGCTGATGAACTCCGGCTTGTACCTGGTGCTGCTGCTCCACCTCTATGAGCAGAGGTTTGCGGAACTCATGCGACTCAACTATAGCCGGGTTGGGAGAGAGCGGGTAAGTCTGGCTCCATCCCGGCCCCCCCAGCAGCAGGCCCCCGACCCTTGCAGGGTTGTTTATCAGATGTGCGACCTGTTGAAGTCTTCCCCTGTCACCCGGTAGGACACAGCACTGTCATCGTGAGGACTGAGACGTCGTGGCTGCTAAGTGTACGCCCAGTCCTCTGGCTGAAAAGTAATTGATAATCACATGATTGCTAACTATTAAACATGAGTAGTAACTAAATGGGCATTAACGGTCACCTAGGCGAGTGAGTCGCTAGGGATTTTTGCCCCGAAAATAGAGGCCAGCAAGGCTGCTGGGGCTGGGTGCGCATCATGTGTGGGCACGCCCACTGCCCAAGCACGGGGGCCCCGTGAGAAACAGGAACCGCCCCCCACAGGAGAGCTATGTTTTTGGCTTTGGATCCCAGGGTACGTTATTCCAGCATCTGCGTGGATGCCAAGAAATAAAGGTGCTGACGGTGTCACCCTTTGTCATTAGAGAAGTGGCCGGGAATGGCCATCTGGGGCTGCCCTTCCTTTAACAAGAGAACCAGGGCCCTCCAGGAGGCTTCGAGATTGGAGGCAGAAGCCTGGGTCTGCTACTAACTGGAGCCTGGCCTAAGCCTAGTCAACCAAAATGCGGGAGGCAGACAGGTCAACCTCTGAAGTGTCTAGATTGTTGTCAAGCCAGAACTCTGCGCCCCAGGGGACTTCCCTCTTGGTCAACCACTTCTCTGTGGTGGGGCCAGGAGAGAGCACTGGCAGGCCAGGTCCCCTCCTTTACCTTAAGGTCATGCCAGGGGCTGATAGACTATTAGTGTTTTGGGTTCCCAGAACCCCTTGAGGCTTGGAACTTGACTTTGGTTCATGTCAGAAGGTCATGACTGGAAAGCAAGCCAGTGTGGCAGTGAACAAGCTACCATGAGACAGTCTTAGTGACACTCTGTCATCCTGGCCCATGAACCTCCCTTTCTTTTCACTTCTCTCTCTCTCTCTAATCCTCCTCGTATCCTCCTCCTTCTCCTCCCCCTCCATCTCCTCCCTTTCCTTTTCCTTTTCCAGCTCCTCCTCCTCCTCCTCAAGTAGATAAGAGGCACCTGCTGTGGCCATTGCCTGGAGGCTGGAATCCAGTGATTCCAAATGGCGCTTACATTGCCACAGGCCTTGCATGATTAGAGGCTGTTGTGATCCATTTGGAGTCAACCCAAACTAAAAGGCTGCGTTCAAACCATTAGTCATAACAGTTCTAGGTTTGTCCCTACCTTTTTTTTTTTCTTCTTCTTCTTCTGCTTAAGTTCTCCCACCCTAAGCTCTCAATTAAGAAAACAGGCTGGGTCTTTGCCAAGCTATCTCCTCAGGAATCTCACCCTCTTTTTGACCTGGCCTGTCCTTCCTTTAACTCTTCCGTCGTTTTAATGGTGACATAAATTCCTCAGAGAAATACACTAAAAAAGGAAAAAATAATAGTACAGGAAGCAGGAAATGATCCTTTGTTAACATTTCTGTAACCTCATTTTCATGATTCCACATCTTTTTAATGAACCCTTTATTGCACATTGAACTTCAAAGCACCCCAGTGTTGATATAGGTTACAGATGGCTGCCACTTCGGTAAGCTAACGCAAGCAGGGCTCGCCTTCAAGACAGCAAAGCACACGACAAACAGTGCAACCCAGTGGATGGAAACCCAGGCTCCAGAGCACTGGCTCTGAGGAACCTTCTGGTAAAACGATCCTAGAGGAAGAGGAAGGGATACCAGGAGCCAGCTGGGAACCAGGACAGGAAGGAAGCAGGAAGAACGGGGCAACATTCTTCTCTCACCACAGCTTACATTTAATGAGAAACCCTGAAATAGAGCTCACCCACTAAACCACCGAGCAAGGACCGGTGCAAATAACCAGTTAAGAGGTCCACAAATGGAAGAAGGAAGGCAAGGGCTTTGGGCAAATTCATACACTGGGCTTGAGTCTCCGTGTTTTCTTGTAGAAAATACTCAGAATCTGTGAGAACATTTAGCAGAAGAGAGGCACTACGCAAGGAGCAAGCCCTCCTTCCCTGTCCAGTCCCTACCGAGCTGGAGAACCCATTCGCACGGGGTTTCTTGGCTGTTTTTCACAAAGGTGTCCAGTGATGATTGCCTGTCAGTGGTGCTGATCATTCACTCACTCATTCATTCATGCCTCAGCCTGTATCAGTGGGGACCTGGCCGCCTACTAGACGTGATGCCACGATGTCCCTTTTTTTTGAGGAGCTTATGGTCAGGTTGGAATTTATAAAAACAGAAAATACCATATTTATAAATCTGGAAAATAACTGGAAAGTCACACTTGGTCAAGAGAACTGGCAGACCCAGTGGATTCCCAGAGGCCGTGATATTGACAACACCAGGTGTCCCCTGACTGGGTTTCCAATGATCCCATAAACAACCACTTTGTCTCTCCAGTGAGGTTGTGAGCTATTTGAAGGCAAAGCCCAGCCTTCTACTCCTCTCGTGATGCTGGCACACAGTGAATCCTATGTGACCGCTGACCACGTCCCAGACACTATGGAAGCCAGGAGCATTGATTGATTCCACCACTGCTAACTGACTGTCAAAGAAAGACGTGGTCTTGTAGGGTGCAGGTGGGACGTTGCACTGGCAACCAGGGCATGGAACCCTTATCTCTTTTGACCCCTACAGTCCTCCAGTGCCTAGAAAATGCCCGGCACAGTGTACGTGCTCAATAACCTTTGATGCTCAAACAGTAAATTAATGAACCAGAACCTCGCTTCTCCCAGGAAGCGAGTACAAATTGGAGATAGTACGAACTTGTGGAGAGAAAGGTTTTCTGGTAACGACACATCCAAGTTCAAGGTATAGTCGTTTGTTTAAAGATGTCTCTGTGTGCCTACTATGTACCAGGTTCTAAACTAGATTCTGGGAATAAAAAGATGATTATAAAGGACTCAGAGTCTAAAAAGAAAATAGACGTGTAACAAGAGTATCAACAATGTGCCTTGTATTACAACAGAAGATTGATGGGGGAAACAGAGCAAAGTTAGGTGACGTGAGGAGCCACCGTTCTCACCCCCTCCTTCCACTCCTCCAGGACAGGCTCTCCCGGCAGGGTCCTCAGGGACACTAGCCAACACCTCCAAGACCTTGCTTTTAATCTGAGTAGGTTGTGCTCTTTGCTGTCAGTCTTCCCCCTGCTTTGAGAGCCTGGTAGCCAAGCTCCTCCCATTATTGCTCTCATCCACTGATGAGCTGAGGAGGTGATGATTGCACTGAATCTTGGGAGAGTTTAGCGGGTGGACAAAGGTGGGTGAGGAGGAAAAGGGCATTCTATGCAGAAAGCAACGCAAAGGCTCAGAGACCTGAAAAACCTTGCATGTTTGGGAAAGCCGAGGAGTTGAGTGTGGCCAAAACTGGCAGGAAGTGAGCCTGGAGGCTTGGCAGGAAGCAGGATGTGATGGGTTGGTGTTGGGCTCTAGAAGGCTGCTCAAGGATTTCTAGCTGGGTTTGGCAGGCCAAGAGGTCTGGGTTTTTGAGAGGTAACTGGAGCAGCCATGAGGAGGGCGGGCTGGAGCGGGACGGGACCAGCTGGGTGGCTGTTGCACTGTTATAGGGCAAGGGGCCCACGTGGGGAGCATTGGAAATGGGAAGTGCAGACTTGGTGGGCACAGAGGGAGGCACGTATGGGCTGAAGGAAGCATTGAATGGTGTTCTGTGCAAGTGCCCAGCACGAGGACACAACACCCACTGGCCTCACTGGACCCCACTTGGCTCACCCTTTATTTAATCTGAGGGGGACACACAGCTGGCCTGCGAGGTGAAGCTATACAGACTTGCCTTCCCAGTCCTCTCTTCCTATCAGCACTCACACAGGGCACTCCATTATTCAGGACCTGCCCCCCCACCCCCACCCCGCCTCCAAAGCCCCCTGTCCTGGGAGTCCTCATAGCCATACGTCTTATCTCTACCAGGCTTCCCTCCCTCCCCCCATGAAATGTACCTATGCCCTGAATTTCTCTCCCTGCCTGCCCATGGCAGCTCCTCTATATCCCTTAGGGGCCTAATTCACTAAACTACATAGAACAACAGAGAATCCCAGTCAGTGTGCTGAAAGGCAAAAGGCAAAGGGCAGAGAGTGCTCTGCTGGAGTGAGGCCCGCCTTTGTCTCCTGCCCCAGGTGTGCTGTATTACCACTGCACCTGCAGGAAAACTTTCACCTGAAGAAACCGGAGGGGAGGGGAGGGGAGGGGAGGAGAGGGCAGCGGCTGGCCTGGGAGGCAGGTAGAGATTTGAAGCAGCTTTCAACTCGCACTGACCCATTTATGTGTGAGGCTGGGTGGACTTTTCCCAAGCCCTCCCCATTCATACCATTTCTACAAAACCAAAAGTCTGGCCTCCAAGGACCAGATCGACCCAAAATACGAGAGGCCGACCCATGGCCCACACCCACCAAGATGGCTTTTCCTGGTGGAGTGTGAGCGCTGGTTTCGATAGATGCGATCACCTGGCACAGAGTCTCGGGACAGGATGAGGCCGGTCAACACGGCCCTGATGTATAATTCACCGGGTGACTGGGCCTGCACTCTATGAGAAATTCCATCCTTCTCCTGCCCTCTTCCTGGCCTGTGGGTGAGAGGCGCCCCAGAGGCCAAGGCTGCCTCCACACTGGGCAGCCTGTTGCCCCAGCAACAGTGTCTGGCACCCCTTGTTTTGTCCTCGAGCCTGTCACAAAACCCCTCTTCTCCTGGGGGAAGAGCACCAGCCTTCCGCACCCGATCCCACATCCTCACAGCCTGGCACAATGGGCTCCCACGGAGCACACAGTGTTTCTTATTGTGGCATAAAATGCCATAAAGTCAGAACAAAGAGGGAGCCCAAGGCCTTGATGGGCCTGCTGCTTCCTGCCGGGCAGAGAATACAAGCGATTGTTTAAAAGCCAGTGGTGAGGCAAGTGGCCAATTAGCAAGGCCTTCACCCCCACACGGCCTGAAAATGGGCTTCGGACCATCAGGATGGGATCTTGCTCTTCAGATCAGTTGCAGAGAGGAAGCAAGTCTGCTCACGCTGCCAAAATTAGACGCCCTGGGCTGACTGGCAAAGGTGACCTGGGCGATGCCGCGGCCGTCCTTGGGGCGCGGCTGAGCCCTGCGTGCTGAATGTCAGCATGCTCCGGGCACCCCCACGCATTTCCCCTGCCCCTCTAAGGTGACGGTGAGGCATTCCGAGAACCTCCCCGAGTCTAGGGAATCATACAGCTGTTCACGGTTGCCGTGGAAAGACAATTCATTTTTCACTGTCTTCTTTCTCATAGCTGTCAAGAAATTTCCCACAACCCAGACCGGAAGAAAATGAAAGTAGGTTTTGGGGTCAGTCCTGCCATTTTGAGGGTGTTTGCTAATTTACTTTTTCTGTCGCTGTGTTGAACCTAATACTGTGGAAGGAAGTAATGACCACCACCCAGAGGCAAAAATAACCCCACTGAGCTTGGGAAACTAGCAGCAGCAGGTCATAAAGGCGAGTCCAAGCACTGACCCGGAGCGGATAAGGGTTCCAGCTCCCCCTGAAAGCAAGGAAAAGGGGAGACGGTGGTGTCGGGGTAGGATGGCTCGCCGCAGGATTTTCCCTTTTCCTTCTCCTTTGCTGGAATTCTCCAGCCTCTCAGGTTATCTTCCAAACCCCGGAAGGGGCTCTTTAGCCATCACCGGAAGGGACCACATTCAATCACAAGCTGGTGGCCTTTTATTGGATTTCCTCACCATTTGGCCCCATCAGGTGGGTCTGCTGGACTCAGAGGCTGAGCCAGGCCTCCTGAGAAAGGTCCCTCCTAGGAAGGAAACCTGCCTTCAAACAGGCTCATGATCTCAGGACCCCCCACTGGAGAAGATGTGGTTAATGAAAGCAGGAGGGCTTGCAGGGAGAAGAGACATTACAGGGCCCTGGAGGGGGGGGCGGGGGGGGGGATGTGACAATTCCCTCGCCAGGGGCTATTCCAGGGAGCAATGTTACCGCCCTAAAAGGGTTAGGACAGTAAACCCCACACTGGCTTTGCCGTCAGCATCACCTGGGGACTTACCGGAAGCAGATGCCTGGGCCCCTCCCAGGGACTCGGGTCAGGCCCAGGCCCGGGGTGAGCCCCTGGTGGTCAGGGCGCAGCTGGTCAGGGGGATGCTTTTGGGGAAACCCCCACAGACCCGCCTGGAGGAGAAGCTGAACCAGCTCACAACTGCACAGGGTGAGGCCCAGACGATGCCTCTAGAACCCAGTTTACTGTTCAGGGCACGCTCCTCCAGGAACCGGGGGGGCCATTTTCAGAGACGCGGGGAGAGAGGGAGGGGGCCTGCCCTCCGTTCACAAAAGGAGCCCATAGAGTCCTAGTCCTGGGCGCGACCGCCGTGTCCTCGGGGGCCACTCTGGGCGGCCACCCCCACCGTCCAGCAGTGCCGATCCCTCCCCGGTGCTCCCCCTCCGGGAACCCGGCTGGGAGCGAGCGGGAAGGGAGCGGTGGGGTCGAGAAAAGACCTTTGTGTCGCGGGCGCACACACCCCCTCTCGCGGAAAACGCCTCTGCGCCTCGTCTCGCTGGTCCTAATCGCGGCTTTTGGCGAGAGCCCCAGCTCCGGAAAGGGCGCGACAGCCAGCGACTGTGGGCGCCGGAGAGGACCCGGGCCGAGGCTCCCGGCAGGGTCTCGGCGCCGCGCCCGGCTGCGCCCCTCCCCAGCGGCGCCCGCGCCTCTTCCCGGTTCGGGGAAACCTGCTGCAGCCGGGCGCGCCCGGGTGGGTTCGGCTGGGCATGGGGCGCCCCCTAGTGCCCAGCATGGGCCGCTGCCGCCCTCCTGCTCCGGGAGGCCCTGAGGACCAAGCCTTTTCCCCACGGAGCTGGGGAAGGGACGTCCGGGGCCCAGGGAAGACTGGCGTCTCCGAAGGGCAGGAGGAGAGCATCCCTGGGGTGATGCTTAAAAAGGGGTCTCCACGGAGGGGATCCTGGGAGCCCCCCCCCGCCTGCCGCAAGTGCCCTGGCTGCGATGCTGCCGTCCCGCGTTGCTCTAGAGCAGCGGTTCTCAACCTGTAGGTCGCGACCCCTTTGGGGGTCGCCTAAGACCATCGGAAAACACATATAATTACATATTGTTTTTGTGATTCATCACTATGCTTTAATTATGTTCAATTTGTAACAATGAAAATACCTCCTGCATATCAGATATTTACATGACGATTCCTAACAGTAGCAAAATTAGTTATGAAGTAGCAACGAAAATAATTTTATGGTTGGGGGTCACCACAACATGAGGAACTGTATGAAAGGGTCGCGGCATTAGGAAGGTTGAGAACCACTGCTCTAGAGAGATGCCATTTGCCATCCTACTTCAGGAATCTGGGACTAGCTCTAGGACCACATTCTCCCCTGCACCGGCCCCAGTGTGGGGGCAGCCAGTTCTCCCTGGAAACGTGGATCTAGGTCCGCTCCACCTGCCCCCAGCCCTGCACACACACCAGAGGCCTGCAGGCACCGCTGAGGTGGAGCAGAGCCCTGCGCAGGGCGGGTCTTGGCACCTGGTCAGATGCTGCCCTCGCCTGGCTTCCTGCCAGAGCCATGATCCAGAAAAGAGCCACAGAGCCGCATGCGTTCCACCCTCCCCCGGGCCGCACTCTTCCTTGGTCCCCAGCAGCCTGGCACGCCTCACCTGGTTGGCAGCACTTTATTAAGAGCGGCTGCCAGAGCTGAGTCACAGCTGTGACCTGCCGCCCTAGCTCAGTTCAGGAAAACGAGGAGGAGAAAAGGCAAAACCTCAGGGCCCACTAGGTGGCACAGAGATGCCAGCCTCTTTGTGGCTCTGTGGTGCCCATGCCAACCTTCTCACCAGGCACCCCGCCCCTGCACCTGGTAACCGAAGCCACACATAAATGGCACAGGTGGCACAGAGGTGAGGGCAGCTGGGGAGAGTCCCTGGGTGGGTGTGCCCAGATCTGACAACCTGTCACACCTGTCTGTGACCCAGCCCCCCTGCCAGTGCTGCCCAGCTGGCACGAATGACTGTCACCACAGCCAAGCCCAAGGCCAGGGAGGGGAACAATGCCTCCTGCAGCTATCAATCCAGGTGTGAACAGGAGCAGGCAGGGGGACTTCAGGCCAAAGGCTGGGCCAGAGCACCTCTCCATTTGCACAAGTCAAGGCAACTGGCTTTGGGGGAAAGAGCAGGGTGAGTGAGGAAACAGGGGAAGCTTGTGGGGCTGGGGCTTCCTGCGGCAGAGGTAGAAGCTGAGAGGGTCCAGGTAAAGATGGGGGGAAGCCAATTGCTCATACTCCTTGCCCTTCTTCCACAGTCAAAAACTGTTTCCAAACAGTCAGGGGGCACTCCCTCAAGCCAATGGGAAAAGAAATGTATTGAGAACGAGAGTTTCCCCCAAGAATAAAGAGCCCCCACCCCCATTCCATCTCCTCACTCAGACCCCAATTCCATCCCACTGCCTCTCTGTCTTCCCTCCCATCACATGGCCCTCTGCTTCCAGCCACTTGATCCCTGGAAGACTTCTTTACAACCTAGGCCAATCCCTCCCCCCGCTTTCCTGACAAGTTAAGGAAGCGAGAGTTCGTGTGGGGGCACTACCCTGAGAGCCTCCTCCAGCTATTCATCCTGCAAACATTTGCAGCACCAGGCCCCATGGGGATCTGAAGATGAGTAAGATGCTTTTGTTGAGGGGCTTACAGTCCAGCTGCGCTGGCCGGTGGGAAGTCTAGGAATTTCCCAGCCCCAGAATGCCATCTCTGTTCCCCGCACTGTTCCAGGCACTGCAGCACGTGTGTGGCTGGCCACCGGGACTGGGATGGGGGCGGGAGGGGCAGCAATGGCATGCCCCTCCATGGCAGATCCCGCAGTCTGCTGTGGCTGTACAGCCTGAGAGATCTTCTTGCTTTCCAGATTCCGAGTTGGGAGATGGAAATGAAAACGGCATGTATGAAGGCAACAGGCGGGTCATCTAGCAAGGAGCTGGCCACGGAGCTCGGCGAGACCTCTCCCCCAGCCGCCCTTTCTATGTCCCCAGGTGCCTCCCTCCCTCCCTCCCTCCTCTTTACTGAAACCGAGACCATGTGTCTGCAGTTACCGTGTTTACTTTATGCCACTCCCTTCTTGGGGTCTGGCTTGAGCGTCTACGGACAGCAACAGCCAAGACCCCGACAGCACAGGCCAAGCAGCCTGGCTTGTTGAGCACCCTCAGGCTGCCCTGCTGCTGCCCCTCAGCCCAGAAGCCCCAAAGGACCCCACAGCCCTGACAGGCCCAGCAGCCTGGGGTCCCTCTGCTGAGGGCACCTGTTCAGGCCGCCACCCTGAGTGGAATCGTGGTGCGTATTCAGTAAACCGACTTAATTTACCCAACTCTGTTTTCAGCTTATTTCAGTCTCATTGGGCAAAGGCTCAGGGCCTCCGACTGGGAGGAGAGGGAAGCACAGCCCATAGCCCCCTCCCCACCTCCATTTCTCCTTGCTCCCCACCACCACCATGGGGGGGTGGTGACACATCCTGGACCCCCAGGGGCTGGTTAGGACCTGATTGGTGTGTGGACTCCACTCTTCTCTCCTCTTAGGGCCCAAAGACCAGATCAGACGGGGTGAAAAGAGGTCAGAGAAAGCTCATGAGAACAGAGAACATTATGTGTTTCTGTTTGTCTGTTGGGGGAGAGGGGGTCAAAAAATAAGAGATGGTGGGCACAAACTACTGATAAATGCAAAACCATTATGCTAGGTGAAATAAGCCAGACATGAAAAACTGCACAGCACATGATTCTATTTACATGCAATTTCTAGAAAAGGCAAAACTGTAGAGACAGATCAATGGTCATGGGGGTTGGGACTAGGGATGGAGACTGAAGACAGCTGGAGAGGACTTTGGCAGGTGATAAACATTTTGCATTGATCTCTCATCGTCACAATAACCCTGTGAGGCAGGTATCATTAACCTCATGTGACATGGGAGGAAACCCTATATTAGGATTCTTCAGAGAAGCAGAACCAATAGGATTTAAACAGATATATAGAAAGAGATGTATTAGGAGGATTGGCTCATGCAATTATGGAGGCTGAGAAGTCCCACGACCTGCCATCTGTAAGCTGAGACCCAGGAAAGCTGGTGCTGTCGTTTCAGTTCAAACCCAAAGGTCTAAGAACCAGGAGCATGGATGTCCGAGGGCAGGAGAAGATGGATGGCCCAGCTCAAGCACAGAATTTGCCCTTCATCTTTTCATTCATTCAGGCCCTCAACGGATTGAATGATGTCCACCCACGCCAGGAAGGCAATATTCTTTATACAGTCTACCGATTCCAATGCTAATCTCTTCCTGCAACACCCTCACACACATACTCAGAAACAATGTTTTACCCACTATCTGGGCGTCCCTTAGCCCAGTCGACTTGGCACATAAAATTAATCACCACAACATCTAAGCTCCAGGGTGTAAGTCAGTCTGTTGGCTAAGACCATGCTTCTGGACCACCTG